GCAAGTTTGACAAGTTATATTTTGTTATTATTAATTCATTTATACTTAATTATTCGAATTATTTATTAAAATAATTTTGTAATAATATAAATCGTGTAACGAATGGAAAAATACAGTAATAACGATTTTAATTTTTAAAGAAATTTTGTAATAAAAAATACAGATATTTAATATTATTCCTATAGTCCCATGTTCGGGCGGCAACAAATTTCATATGGCAATTTAAAGTATCTTGACAGATTTCGAATAGAATTATTTTTGTATATTGTCCCCTGCTCGGGCGGCAATACAATTTATTTGGTAATTTGGTTGCACTGTGATAAATTTTAACTAGAAAAACGGTTAGTTATAACACATAAAATATATTTTGATTTTTCTGTCTCTATCTCTGTATAATCACATTTCCAACAAATTAGTACAAGTATACTGAAATAAATAATTATGCAACTATTAAATAGACTCAATATTCACACAATATACACATATACATATATATAAGATAAATAACAAAAATATTTATTATTAAATTTCGTAAATTTAATTTAAATATTTATAATAATAGAATATTGGTAATTAATGCTAATTAAGTAAAATTCTATATTAAAATTTTGTTTTAATATGATTCTGTTCTTTTTTTGCGTAAAAAAAATGGGTGTGTTTGCTAAAAAATTTTTTTACTTAATTTTCGGATTTTTAATATTAATTAACAAGTGTATTGAAAATAAAAACAAATAAATTATAAATTTCATAACAATTAACCTTCATTTTGATTAATCAAAAAACAAAAAATTAAATTTTTTGCGAAAAATAAAATCAATTTTTTTAAGTAAATATTTGTATTTGCAATAATTAAAAAATATTTATGTAAATTATGTTATTTTCCTTTTTTTTTATTTTAATTTAAAAGAATTGCAAATTTTCAATATTTAAAATAAAAAAAAATTAATTTGTTTTTAATTTAATAATTTTTTTTTTTTGTGAAATTAGAGTAATCGAAGATGTAATCAAAAAAAAAATCAGAAAAGAACAAAATATAATCGAATAACAGTATTTGTTATTATTATTAATTTTGTGTGCATATCAATTATTATAGTACTTGAAATGCTAATTTGACAAAAGTTGTAAGCAAATATTATATTCTGACATTATTTAAAATGTGTAGATTCCACATGTATATATATATTGATTTCTTCATGAAATGATATTATAAAAGATACCAAAATAACAATGCATAACAGAGACGAAATGGAAATGAAAACGAAAATAATATGAAAACGAAAAAAAAAAAAAAACAAGAATCATATATAAAAGAGTTACGTCACATAATTTTATTTAAAAATTCACATGGTCTTTTATTATTTCCGTTTTATCGAATAATTTACAGTCGAATACAAAAAAATTGAAATGTAAATAAGAATGATGGAAAACTATTATAAAAGTAACGGTTATCTATGTTAACAGAGCAAAGTAACTATTCAGATTATACTGTTATATTTAATTAATTACGCCATTGTTTTTAGTATGTATATTAGATGCTATATTAAATTTAATTGACATGCAAAAATTACTAAATTTCAATAATAATATTTTTAATTTATTCTATAGTTATTAAGAAAAATTATAATTAAGTTACAAGAATTTTTTGTATATTTTTAGAATTAAAGAAAAGATCTTGACATAAAAGCGAAATTAAGAATAATATTAATTTTTAAAGCAGGTAGATTTTTACATGCATAAATAGAGTAATGTAATTTATCTAATGAGACAGGATGGAAAATTCAACGCTCTTCATTTGAACAAATTCTACATTATTTTATAAATTATGTAAATTTTAATTGTTTTCTTAATAATATCTATATTTAATTAATAATTATGACATTAATTATGCTTATATTTAATATTTATTAAGTACTTATACTCAATTTATTCAAAATTTTTTAGTATTATACAATTTTTTAATAAAAATTATATTAAAAACTGTTATACTATTTTTTTTAATAATTATTATAAAAAAAATAAAATGTTATATATTCGAACTATCGGCATTTTACTGTAATAAAATTTTCATATACTTACTTATAATGTAATTATAACATAAAGTAATCGAAGAATATTATTTTTGAATAAGTATATAAGAATATAAATTTTAGGAAATTGAAATTCGATATATAAAATATTATTTAGACTTGAAAAAATATAAAACCAGAGAATATAACAAAAATATTGTATAATTAAATTTTATTTGCAGACAAAATAATTATTATCTAACCATTTTATTATTAAAGTATAAGTATTTTTATTGTTTATTAATTGAATATCAATTTAAAAATTTTGGGAAAACAAAAAAAAAACTTTCACATATAGTCAAAATACATTTGTCGTCTTGATTTTTTTTCCATTAAAATTCATTTATTATGTAATAAATATTAAATATTATACTTAATTACCGATATATGTAGGTAATTGAGTATTCAAAATCAAGAGCAAAAAAAAAACAATAAAAATAAAAAAAAATATTGTTGAATTCTGGTGTAGTCTTAAAAAAATTCTTATTACGGTAGATCAGTTAGCATAAAAAAATAATTAGCGTTTTTTTATGAATTTTTCAATAATAAAAAATTTACTTAGGTGTTTTTCTTATTTTTTTGTTTAATTATTATTCTTCGATAGCAATTTATTATAATAATTAAGTATTAATTGATATTGAAACAGTAAATAATTTTTATTTTTTTATTATTCAAATGTTTTTTAATTATTCAGCAGGAAATTTTCTTTTTTTTTTTTGTCAATTTGTTTTGACGAATTCGATTTTTTTTTTCCATATTATTATTATTTCGATTAAATATTTATATTTAATTGTGAATTTAAAATTAGTATTGTTTAAGTAATAAATAAGTATAGAAATTGGTACTTGTATAATCTGTATAAGTACGTCAATATTAAATTGATAAATTTTGTAGATTTTTAATAAAGTAAACGATGATACTTTTAAAAAAAAATTATATTTGACTATTGCTATCAGAAGAGATTATGAATTAAAATTTAATATTGTAATTTGATTTTGAAAGGACCGCATACAAAATTGATTTATTGTATTCAGTATATTAGTAACTATATATTAGTAATTACTTATAGTATTGGATAAATCAGTAGGTATACTTAACCTACAAGTGCCTATCGTATTATAAAAAAATTCTAATTAAAATGTACTCTTTGCAATTGAAATGAAAAATACTCTTTTATATAAGTGCAGAATGCAATAATTATATTTACTGCATATATGATCTAATATTTAATATTAAAATTATTTTTGTTAAACCTAAGCACTTTTCATAATTATACGAGTATACGTTTAAAGGACCTTATCCAGTTAAAATTACAATAAATAATAAATTTAATTTGAAAAAGTTTTAAGCTTTTATTTCCAAAAAATTTTATGTTACTTAACTTTTGTAATCATATAACGTACTCATATAGTTATAATGTAATCATTTTTGAAAAAAAAATTATAAAGTATGTTTTGTTATTTGAATTCAAATTGACGTGTCTTGTTATTCAAATTGAAATAAAGCTTTACGTGTCTTGAAATTCGATATTTTAGTTATGAATTTGCTGCATTTTTATGTAAAATAAAATTTCTTACTATAGTACTTAATTATTACTTAATAATTGTAATTGGAGTCGAAATTATCCTTTTCAAATTTTGAGGTATACTTAATTATGATTACTTAATGCATATACCTTATAATACTGGTATTAACAACTTTCTTGTTGATTTGAAAAACAGGCGTACTTATTTTTTTCTATTTTGTTTTTAGATTGTCATAAGTGCTTAAGTATAAAGTATTTTGTTTCAAAAGCATGCTAAGCATAATATAGTATAGAATTGAAAATTTTTTGGATACAAGTTATCAATTAATTATTTTTAATTGATTATTAAGTATTTATTTAGAATTTCATTCATTACTGCTTAATATTATCTAGTAATTAGATATTTGTGAAAGAATTTATTAATAAAATATATTTTATGATAATTTTTTTTTTCTAATTTCGTCTATTAAGTAATTGTATATAAAAATATTTTATTAGCTTAATTGTTGGCCCCATATCTAGTTTACGTAATTAGTTAAAACTAGTAATCTGTTTTTTTTTTTATAACATACAATTTTTATTGAACGGTAATAATTATAACAACTATACATACTTATTTCGTATTTGAGTAATAAAAATTAATTAAATATTTTTAGTATTTTAATTATTTTTGTACATAGTACTAAAAATAGTACTTAAGTATACTAATTTTTGTTTTTGCAATTTCTCTCTTATCTTAATCGAATTTCGGATAATAAATTTTGGTATTTATGATTTGAAAGTATAGCATAATTAATTACAGAGTTATGTGATAAAAAATGAAATATTGATTCAGTAATTTTAAATCAGGTTATGTTTTTATAAAGTGTTGTCATATTTTTTAATAATCAATGCCATAATTTAATATTGTGAGTTTACAATACTTTGACAAATTCAGAATTCAATTACTTTTTGAATTGAAATCAAAATTAATTCTAAAACAAAATTTTTCTGATTGAAATTTTAATTTAATGATGCGGTAACTCACTCGTTTATAAGGCAATAATTTTTGTGGTGTTATTTCATAAAATTTTTAATATTAAAAAAATATTTTATAATTTTATTGCAATATTATATTTTAAATTTTATTAAATTATTAATTTACTAACAATAATTTTTTTTTATTGATATTGCAGATACCGAAATTTTTGGATTTTTAATCGATACCATCCATTAATCATTTGAAATCAAGTAAGTACTTATTGATCTCAATTCCAAATTATTAAGAAATCAATTTTTATAAAATAAGGCAGTTACCTATGTATGTATGTCGAATATATTAATATTTTTCTTAAATTTTTTTCATACAAATTAAAAAATTCCCATATAAATTACAAATATTAATAAAAAAAAATGGAATAGGTACTTACTCTTCTATCACTTTTAACTGGAGCTGTTGGAGGTGATGGCTGTTGTGCCTGTTGTTGTTGCTGTTGTTGTTGTGTTACCTCTTTAAGAGGCATTGTAGATTGTTGTTGATTAACTACCGCAGTCATTGTTTTTTGTGATATTGTACTTGAAACACCGGTTACCATATTATTATTTTTTATATATTGAAATGTTTTAGAATAATAATTTTAATTATTCATATGAAAAATTTTTATTTTTTAAATATTTTTCAAAAATCTTTTCTTAATGAATTTAATATTTTAATAATTTATTTTTTTTCTGTCTTCAATGTTACAAAAATAGTTTGCTTTGATTTTTGATTTTATAATATTAAATTTTTCATTTGTGAAATATAATAAATTTAATAATTTTATAATTTTTAACTAGTTTAATTTTTTTCTGATATTTTCAAAATTTCAATTGTGTTCTTAACACTTTACACGTTTATTATTTTTCTTAATAAATATTTTTTTTTTCTGAAAAATTATTCACCAATTAATTCTTAGTTTTATATGTAATTTCTTCAATAATTCTTAATCACTCTCTTTGTTTTATTAATTATTTTTCATATTTCCATAATCCAAATTAAATTTTTATTTAATGTACTGTTCTTAATTTATTTTTATTTTATTTAATCCATATATCCAATGAATTAATTTATAACTTCATTTATGTTATAAATTAATTTAAATTTTTGTTAAAATCTCTGTTTAGTAAAAAAACTGGGGTAGATAAGAATATTTTTTTTTTTCTACCTTATAAAATAATTCTAAAAATTTTACTTTCTTTCAATTAATTTATTTATTTTTTTATTAATAAAATATTCCGCTTGAATATGTTAACTCGCTAACCGTTCGCGCAGTTCTGATTAATTTTTGTGACTTGTTGCTTCAGACAAATATTCATGAATGAATGAAAATTATTCAAAATGCTTTTTTTTAAAAGAAAATCAAAAATAAATAAAATAAAAACAAAATTCAGAAGCAAAACAAGTAAAAAGGAAAAAGAATAATAAAAAAATCAAAAACAACAGAACAAACAGCCGATGATCTTTATTTGCTGCTATGAGAAATAAAAATTTCAGCAAAAAATAACAAAAAAAAAAGCAAAACAGAAAAAGAGAAAAAAGCAACAAAAAGGAAAAAAGCAAAATGTTATTTAAAAAGTCAGACGAGACACGATCACGTTGTTCTATTTTTCTCTTTTTCTTTTTTATTATTATTATTTTTTCCCTTATCTCTATATCTTTCTTTCTCTCTTTTTCCTTTTTCTTATCTTTATACATATATTCTGTATTTTATTTTTATATAAAATTGCAGAATATTTTTTCATATTTAATAATTTTTACATTATTTTCAATTCAATACAATACTACTGTTATTTTTCATAACACTACTTTTCATTATTATCAGTGAAAAAGAAAATATGCAATGATATTTTTCGTCTCTCCGGTCGGAATAATACTAAAAGAGAGTGAAATTGAAATTTTTTTTCTCTCTGTTATTAATGCTTTGATATTGAAGATTTTGCTAACATAAACAAAAACAAAATTTAAATTAAATCAAAAGAGAGAAGCAAAAAAATTTCCCCTTCGAGTAAAATTCTGTTATTTTATTATGATAACGATAACATCACATGAAAAAATGTTTGAAAACGCTATTTCATACTGCGATTTAACAGTTCGGCATAGAGTTTTGAGAGTATATTTTGTTTAAATATAAAATTTAAAAAGTTTCTTAACAATTTAAGAGTTGATTCGATTCGCCCAATTATTTCTAAATTTTTATGAGAAAATAAATGCAATTATTACTGTTATTGCATGTAAGTAAATTCTAATGGTAAATGTAAGAATAATTAAGAAAATAACTTAAGAAACATATGTACATACCTTACATATGTAAGTATATAATATGATCTCTGTGCGCATTACATTCATTACAGATGCACAATGTTAATTTAATATTAAAATTGCCTGTTAAAGTAAAGGTCATTTGAACCTGTTAAATAATCTGTTATAAAATAATTGAGTAACAGCATTAATAACAAGAATTATTATTATATATTATGTGTGTATGTTTACTAAAATATTAAATCATCTGTTATCTGTAAAATCTATTAACAGAAATATAAATATTAAACATAAAAATTTTTTTTAATTATTTAACATTATGAATGACGTATTTCGATACGAAATTATACGAAGTCAAAAGCCACACGACAATTGCTAGCGAATCGATTAGTAAAATAGAAAAAAAAAAACAGTTGTTTTGCTGTTACTTTTGCTGTTGTTTTTGTTGTTGTATTAAAATGTTCGTATTTTTGTCGTGCTTCTAATATTTTGTTCACTGTTTCGAAGATATTTTAATTTTTCTTCTTTCATATTTATTTATTTCTTTTCTTGATCATGTACATATTTTAAAACTTATAACTCTTTCTTTTTCTTTTATTATATTTTTTATAGGTATTTGTATAGGTGTGAATGTAAATAAATTTTATTAGATTTTGAAAAATTGCTATATTTTGTCTCTTTCTCTTTTTATTTTAGATTACAATTTCTGTTAGCAGACTATTAGACGGTGATTAATTTGTGTTTTCTTTTTATTTTGCGTTTTTGGGGAAATTTTTTAATTGAAAAATGGATTATAATATTGTATATTTTTTTTTGGACAATATAATTCAAGCGAGAGTAATTCACATGTACATACGAGTATGTGTAATTAATAGGTTCAGAGTTTAAAAAAAATTTCAAGTACCTACGTATACATAATGTTCACATACAAATGTGGATTAAGTAATTTTAATATTCTTTATTTTGTTAGAATTATTGTTGTCGAGTGAATATCTCTGTTATCTGTTATTTGTGCGGTAATTATTAATTACGATTACTGTCGTCACATTATTATTTTGTACTTTGGATTTATTTTATTTCTTTTCTTGTGTATCTATTGTATAATAATTACTTTGTACGGAATTTGAATATAAGTTTGTAAATATGTATGTACATACGTTAGTATATACTAAAAAAAATATTGAATATAATATTATTTTAAAGGTCAATTATATAGGGTTATCTTGGGGAATATTTTATTTTATTATTTTCTTTTTGTTTTTTAAATAACATTTTATTATGTACTTAATATACATATATAGAATATTTAACTTCCTTATAACTTTGAACTCGACTACTAGACAAAGTGTGCTTTTATGATATAATTTATTTTATTGTAAGTAATGTCGACTTGTATATACTTACATATGTAGTCCAATAATCAAAAAAAGAAAAATTTCGAAATAATTAAATTTAATTTTAATAATATTAAAAATAAATCAGTTTGTGTACAATGATCTACCTATAATTGAAAGTATTCGAATACAACCAAGAGGGACAAAAAATTATCAAAATATTTCAATAGTAGATGTTGGTAACAGGACCGAAATTTTCAAAAATAAAGTAAATTCGAAAAAAAAAATCAGTTTCTCGAAAAAAAAAATTACATAATTTCGAAAAATGCAATATATTTCAGGAAAATGCAATATTGTCAAAAATTACAGAATTTTCGAAAATATCAGTATATATTCGAAAAATGTGGTGTTTTGAAAATTGTTATATAAACTTTTTTCAGAAATGAATAATTTTCGAAAATATTTCCAAAAATAGATTAATTTCGAAAAAAAAATCTAGTTTTTCGAAAAAAAAAATTACATAGTTTCGAAAAATGCAATATATTTCCGGAAAATGCAATATTAACAAAAATTACAGAATTTTCGAAAAAATCAGTATATATTCGGAAAATATGGTGTATATTTGAAAACTATAGTATATATTATTTGAGAAATGAATAATTTTCGAAAATAAATTTATAAATTCGAAAAATTTAATATCAAAAATATTTTGAAATTGAATAGAAATGACGAATTGTATTGTACTGCACACGTCAATGCACAAACAATTAATTACTCATTAAACAATTAATTGCGTTAACACCATAAGCTCTTCAATATGATTTGACGATCTTTTCATATTTTTTTTATTTTAAATGTGAATTAGTTTAAGAAACAGGTATGGTAGTTGGGAAACAGGTGAATAATTGCAATAATATTTTTCTTTCTCATCAAATGACTCAGATTTTTTTTTTTTAAAATAAAATGAAAAATATTTAAAAATGATTTTGTTGTCTTGTGTGTTTGTCTTTATTTAATTTTTTTTTGCACTGAATTTCTACTGAAAGCAAAGAATTCACGTTATGTACAAGGGTCAAAACATTTTAAAATTAAATTTAATTTTAAATAACGTCTACGTCTATATTAATTTTTTTTTTGCTCATTGAATGAATCATATAAATGATCGGGTGATAGAGGGTTACAAAGTACGAAATTTTTTTTTATAGAAGCTTTTTTTCGTATTTCAATTGATTTATTGCAACGATTTGTCGTATTTTCGAACGTCTGCGATTGGCATTGATTCTATTAAAGTATGTGTATTTAGGATTTATGAAAAATTAATGATGCATTTTATGGCACAATAATAATAAAATTTTAATAGTATAATTGGATTTTGTTATAAGTGTTCAGGAAAATAATTTTAATAATTTTAAATTGGTACTTTTTTTAAGTGGCAGTCAGTCTTTCTTATAGGAAAATTTCATATATTAGACGTTAGAATTTTTTTGTTAACAAAGACGGTACTTTTATATCAATTTTATTAAAGTTAATATGGTATTTCTTGGTTATGTTGATTTTCTTTTTCGGAATTCACAAATTAAACCCATTAATTCTCAATAGAGTCTTATTATTGAAACTATAAATTTTATGCATAATATGCTTTATTTCCATAGTAACCATAGCTCTTAAAGCAATGATTCTCCCTTAAAATTACTTAATATTAAGCTGTACACGTAAGCATAGCGTATAATTATAGTTAGCAATACAAATTTTCTATTTTTTTTTAAATTCTTCTTATTTATTCGAAAGTTTGATTCGTGATGTCAACACTTGAAATTATAAAGTCGGAAAAAATTATCATCGCGATTGTTCTTGATTATATGTGCTGTCAAACACTGCAGGAGTAATAAGAAAAATATTGGCCGTCCAAAGTGTAATTCGGTTGATTAATTTGATTAGCATATTTATTACATTTTCATTCAATTATTTATATCATTGGAAGCCATTTATGTACATAAGGAGGAATTTAGATAGGCTTAACTTGGAAAAAGCAATCTCCATAGCGACCTGCTAATGGTAATAAAATTTGACAAATTTTAAGTAATTGCCATATAATTTTTGCAAAATCCGGTATTACGTAAATAGTTTCCTATTCATTTCTATTCTGTACTATCCTATAGTTGATAAGAAATACTTTCTATTGTTTACACATTCTTATATTTTATTTCCATATTCTATTTTATTTTTTTCTTTTTTTTTTTTTAATTCAAATTACCTAA